GAATTTAGTTTTGAGGTTTGTGGGGATTTATTGATTTCAGGTTGGAAATATGGCCCATTATATTCCCACCCAGCGGCTCGGTGGTAACGTGCTGGCCACGAAAGTCGTGAGTTCGATCCCTTGTGGGGTCGTGGGTGCATACTGCTGAGGAGTCCCATGCTAGGACAAGACACCTGCCCAGTGCTCTCGAGTTTCTACTGTTTCTCGAACTGATGTAAGTCCATGATGAATACCAACCCGAAATAAATAAATCCCCACAAACCTCCAAACTGAATATTTCTCTGTATTTTGCAGTACTATATATAAAGAACAACTAGCAAACTGTAAGTACTTAGTCAAAAGAGAAACATTATCTGTTTTTGTATTTATTCGTCTCTATTCTTAGACATCAAAAAAATTAGGTGAAGTATTAGCTGTGTTGCATTTATTATAAGTGTCAACTTGTTTACTTGAATATTGAACCACCAACCTGATTTTGTATATTTTGTTTTACTCAATTACCTCTGTTTGTTATCTCTACACGTACAACACACACTAGTCTTTAGCAGTATAGACAATTATCTAATTATTCCACATGCTATATCTTATTAAAAATAATAATTCCTGATTAGTCGATTTGATGAATTATTTGAAGGCAGCAATTCGTCTTAACACTCTACATATTCGAAAACTTGTATTTCCCTAATGACAAGTTGTTTAGCCCTCTCTCTTTTTTTCACCACAAGTTACTGACTTCTATCAGTGTTTGGGTTCGTATGTGTGTGTGTGTGTATATGCGCTTGTGCTTATTTGGATCTGTATCTCCCATTTTATCATCTTCATGACAGGAAATCGATCAGAAAGAAGAGATTCGTTTCTAACTGTTATACAACGTGATAGTCAATCACTTCATAGCTAGTTATGTTTGTGTATGCATGCTGGTGAAAAGAAAAGAGAAAGTGATAACTAGGAGAAGGAGAAACAGAAAAACTGCCTAAGACAAAACGACTGAAAATTTATCTATAGCTGAGTGTATAAGGAATTTATCACTTAATTAAATTATACCAGAGAATTTAATAGGGTGGATGCCCTCCTGTCAATTGTAGTCTTACATTAAATCAGTAAAAGTTGACAAGATATTTTCACGGTCAGTCTGTTGCACCTCGTTTATTACAGTTGATGTTACACACCTGCACTGCACAAACAAATACAACCACAGCGCAAAATAGTTACAAACTTTCTGCTGTCATCATAGGTTATTATTAGATTTAAGTACTTGTATGTCAGATATTAAGAGATAATTTTCGCGAAATCTTGGGATTAGTTCTATTTTGGTTGATTATGATTTGACTCTCTGAGAAAGCCTTAGTTTGGCAGACTAGTATTATGGTTGGTATTTATTGATGGGGTGTGCTGGAGTCATGATTTTTATAACACGTTTTGTTCGACTTGGGAGTCAGAAAGCTCTCGATGATATACCTCAGTAACAAATCAATACCTGTAGGACTGGATCGTATGCAGTGATTGAAATCTATCTAGCACAGAAGTTTATCAATCACAGAATGCACAATTCAGAAGAGACTAACATAATATATCAGTCTTTTCAATACAATGAATGAAGTTTTGTGTTAATTGTTCACAAATAACAGTCTTATTTTCTGCCTGATCGCAATATAACGAGCTCTGTAATTATTTCATGGATGGATAGTCAAGTCAGTGGTCATCCACTTGACTTGTGTTGTGATATGCTTTGCTGACAAACAATCTCTCTGCTTCAAGCAACGGAATAACTAAGCTCAGTTCAAGAATGAACAGAGAATCAGTTTTATCTCTTTAGTGTTCAATAAATCACTGGGATGAGACTTTCCGAACAAAGGGGAGTTATATACAAAAATAGTTTTAGGCTTGTGATAAGCCTGATTATTTTGAGTACAAGTTTCAGAGGAGATGTGTACTTTATGCAATGATTTTGTAACATAGTAGCGTAGCATTAAGTTTTCCAACAACAATCTGAACGAAGAATATTCTTTTCAATAAGTTCTCATCAGGTTCTACAGTTAAAAAAAGCATTTATACAGTATAAACTTAAGCCAATGTAGAGGCAAACATATTTTCAAAATGAAGTGATAATTATAGACTGTAAGGGAATACAGTTTCTTTTTATCAGAGTCTATAAAGCTTAGGATGACATATATGCAGATGAATTATGTGATAGTGAACGAAAAGACAACGAATTATGAAAACAGGAATGACCTTTAGTCTGCTGAAGGCCAAGGGAGGGAAAACGTTTGAACACAATCTTTGTGAATGCAGAGTTCAGGTTTCATCAACCTTATGGGGATAGCCTCAGCTACACGTGTTAAGTGTCCCTTCTGTCTTCGTTATTCGTTGTCTTTTCTTTCATCATCATATTATTCATCCCAATATTGTAAATTTTAAAAAAGAAAACACGGTTTTCTTAGTCTTTAAATGTCACTTCGTTTGAAAATGTGTTTGCCTCTAACTTGGCTCGATTTTACACTGTATAAATGCATTTTATAACTGTAGAAACTGATGAGAATTTGTTGAAAATAATATTCTTAGCTCAGATTGTTCCTTCTTATTAATGTTATGGAAATCCTTCGATGTTTGAAAACTTACAGTTGAGTGTTTACTGGAATTGCGTAATATAAATACTGGGTACTTCCTGATTGTTTGAGCGAAATAAAGTTGTCGTGAAAACCACAACTAGATATGCTAAGCAGCTAACTAATAACTCCCGATTTAATCGCTTTACAAATGTGTTCAGTGTTTCAGTGAGAAAGAAGTTTTTAGCGTTGAGAATATTACTACTTACTGAACCTATGGATTATGGGCTTCTTAATAGTACAAAAGTGCAAACCGGGTAAAAGTTGATACCTGTCGAATGGAAAGCACAAATTCACTTCAAGTTTTTGATGTTTATCACAAGATTTTCAACGTGAAAATAGAAAATGCTCTTAATATACCCCCCTCTCTCTCTACATTCTTTTTCTTTACTCTCTTCCATGATATTGGATTATGTTTAGCTGAAGCAACTAATAAAGGTGACAGCTAAGAATGTGTAGCTGAGGATGAATATGACGGCAATTAGTTGTCCTAACCTCTGAGGGTTTATTGTGGGAATTTCACAAAGGATCTCAACTTGTCTTAACAATAACGAGCGACTTTAAACGTCACCCTAACTACAACAATAAAAAGGACAAAAATAACCATGTAGACTTCTGTTTTATGGAAACCTGCCTTTCCATCCGAAATGGAAAGCCCAATTGGTCATTTCGATTGTTGCTAGGGTGTAGCCTTTAAAGTAGCCTACAGAAAAAAACCTAAACTCAAGCCCATCTCGACAGTGATGTACATATATATACATATGAGCATCTGGTACTAAAGTAACTTTTTTCTGCACATATATACATTTGGGGATATATATACAAAATATTTTCCTACTTAATGGAGGCAGTTTCCTCGCCTCCAAGATGCGATTAATTATATATTTAGCTGTTTTTTCTACTTGTCTAAAATCATATATTGCTTTACTTGGAAATAAAGATTTTCTGTCCTTTTTTTTCGCATGCATTTTTTACTCTACCAGTGCCATAAGTACTTATTTTACGCTATATTCTGAGTTTATGGGTAATTTTCAGTAGGTAAATGAAATCTCAATTAACCTTTTTGAAACCCAAATTAACTAAGCCAGAAAAATCACTTAACAGTTATATTCCGATCGATTTATAATTAGTTTTGATGTAAATGATGGTACCGAGCTCGAACTACATGTACAAAGTCATTCAGGTAGGAATGGAATTGTTGATCAGTTTGGTTATTTCTGTAATTTGTAGCTGTACTGTGCAAATTAAAATAAGAAATAGCTAGTGAGTTTATTCTTTAGATAAACAGTAAACTAATCAATAGATCATTTATACTGTTTTACTAAATGAAAGAGATCCCTAACAGAAAAAAGTCTCTTTCGAATGGCTACTATCAACGAGTTTTCTACCTAAAATATTAAATACATCATGAAATATGAAGAGAAAATAGAAAGAAACAGTTTCTCGAAGTGCATCCCACAATGGAAAGTGTTGTAAACTGATATTTTAAATAATGGACATTCATATAAAGTCTGATCACCAATTTCATGCTGGGAATATCGTCCTCTCAATAGGGTAAGAGACGTTCACCTTGATTGTTAATCACGAATTGGTATTTCTGGATCTGATGATGTGCATCTGTGATCATCAATTGTACCAATTGTCTTCCACTTTGTTCCCCTTAGCTTCACATGATAAAGTTGGGTATTTTCACTTTTTGAATGTAAAATATGTTGGTGTTTCAAGCTCTGTAGCAAAAGTGGTCCGAATTTAACTAAACTAGGCTACTCTAAATGACCCAAGCAGTAATTCATAAATCTCTACTCCAACTTGTTACCAACTTGAATTGAAGTGGGAAGGTGTAAAGAAGTAATCATCAAGATTGAAGGCGAATACCAACGTGTTTATTATTGGTATAATAGTTACTTAAAACCTCCAAAAGCTTTAAATGAATCATTATCCCTAGCTTACTGGGTGCTCTTAATATGAGATCATTAGGACTTCGCTGTTGTTTTAGCGCAAAAGAGTAATTGGAAGTCAATTTCAAATGCTCATATGCATTAACAGTACACTTCCGGAAAACAAGTGGTAATCGTTTAGTTGCAGGTCAAAGTGAACTTTTGACGTTTGTCCTGCTCTTTCTTACTAGTGCCAATGCCCCATAACAATGAAAACGTATCTCCATAATTAATTTTTATAAACTACTGCCAATATTCTCTGTATTTTTCGACAGTCTGTCATTAAATATTAATTTTTTGCACTGATTTATAACTCAAAATGTCGAACAGTCCCCCTCTTCCACGGGATTAAAAAGGATATCGGTCTGATCCTTTGTAGTCCAGATAACTTCTCAACTATAAATTGATTTTCTCATTATTCAAAATGAATTACAGTCTTTACTTTTTTTTCATCTAGATTCATCGAAATCTGAAAGGGATTGTTCAAAAAGTCCTGATCATTCACAGCAGTTGAATCCAACTCAATCATTTTACAAGAATAAATGTGAATTCATCCCACCTAATGAAAACGAAAGGAAGGAGCTAACCAGTTGTTCCTTATCGCATAAGCATAATGGTAATGATGATGAAATGGGATCAGAAAGTGATCACAGTCCTTCAACTACAGCACCCTTGAATCTTTCCGTAGAAAATAAAGTTTACAATAACAGTGATGAAATGCAAACAAAACTTCTTCAATCCATCAGTTCACTTGAATTCATCAAATCTGGCATATTTTCATTTCCTTTTAATACGCATCAATGCTGCAATTCAGACAGCAGTGACAATATAGGCAAACTTCAAAACCCCCCATTAATAAACAGTGAGGTTAATACCATAGTAACGGCAAAAGAAGTCACCCATAATCTCAGCAGAAACAAAAATCCTAAAGAAAGTGATTCATCAGTACAGTCAGTAGTAAATGACTGGAAAAGTCAACACTTCTCCCCTCACCACAATATTAGTGGTAATCAAAGTAAAAACAGCAACAACACGGACAATAGTTCACAGATAAACAAATCTCAGAACAAACGAAATATTGAAGTGAATTCTGAAAGACATAATCGTGGTGGTCCTACACCTGTAAAATCACGGCGAATGAAATACGCCAAACCTCTTAAATATTCACAATTGTAAGTTATCCTAAATAAATTTTTTGAACGGTATTTACACACTTTACACAGTGAAGACACTACGTCAATACTTTTTCCTGCCTGTTTGATCTGTATACCATCAAACTTGCACGCCACTAGGCATTTGATTAAACGCCATCCTAAGGAGCATTACTTAAACAAGAGGCAAAACTTTAGTTTTCTCATCTGATACCTATTTTTCTCAAATCGAACTGCCACAAGTTGTAGGCATTTATTTGTTATTTTACTGACAATTAAACAGGAAGTAGTAAACTACGAGTGTGTATTATTTTTTGCTCAGTGTGGTTAACTAGAAAGGCTTCTTAGCTAAAAATGTATGCAGAATTTTGTCAGAGGACAAAATTTTATGCACATACATTTCTGTTAGCGTTCTAGTCTTGGTTTGTTTTAGCTAGAAACCCATCTGGTTGGCTTCTGTTAAGTTCTAACTTATTTCTTTGGACGGACACAAGTTTCTTCTCAGGAAGTGATTTTAGTTACATTGTTTTGTAACCATGGCTACCTAAGGTACAGGTACAACCAGCTGGTGAGTCCCATATAAGCCGAAACACGCGTCCTGGATTTCACTACTAGTTGCCAAGATGAATACAACATCATGAATATCCAGAAGTATCGAGGCATCTGCAAAAAAGCCCATCTACCAACAGAAGTCCAGCAATTCGACCCTGTACAGCAAGGGGGAATTACAAGTACCAAACAACATAGATAATTTAGAAGTAGTATTCATCATGGACTGACATCAGTTGGGGAACCACTGGAAATCTGGGAGCACTGGACAGCTGTTTCGTCCTACTATGGGACTCCTCAGCAGTACGCACCCACGACCTGGCTAGGGGTCGAACTCAAGACCTTCAGGTTTCACGGCGAACGCGCTAACCATTTAGCCACTGGGTCGGTTTCCAGTGTTTCACAATTTCCAACTTCTGTCAATTCACGACATAGCGTGACTGTCACCCAAGGTCTTCAGTTAGCATACACTTCATTTCCGACTGGTTGACCCCACAGGTTACGGCTTCTCATTCCCGGTCGGAAATGAAGTGTATGCTAACTGAAGACCTTGGGTGACAGTCACGCTATGTCGTGAATTGACAGAAGTTGGAAATTGTGAAACACTGGAAACCGACCCAGTGGCTGAATGGTTAGCGCGTTCGCCGTGAAACCTGAAGGTCTTGAGTTCGACCCCTAGCCAGGTCGTGGGTGCGTACTGCTGAGGAGTCCCATAGTAGGACGAAACAGCTGTCCAGTGCTCCCAGATTTCCAGTGGTTCCCCAACTGATGTCAGTCCATGATGAATACTACTTCTAAATTAAAAATCTCCATTCATCTCAAAAATCATAGATAAGATTACGACTGAGTTAATTTCGAAGTTTGCATTTTCGATTATTAAGATCCTTTTTGTTAAGCTATGCATTTTCATCAGTGGAAATATAGGGAGATATTTACCAGGTCAGAAACAGAAATCAGAGAAGACCCCAGTCTGATACTGAACGATTCATACATTTCTTACAATAAAAATTCGAAAATACCTGAATAGTTTAACAGCACATTTCTGCTTACTTTGGAATACAAATGACTAGAACGTGTCCCCATCAAATGAAACAAAAAAAGGCTATAACACAATTACAATGATAAGTTTCCCTAGTAAGCCTATGAAACTTTGATCTTTGGTAAATATTTACCAGTGGCCTGGACGATTTCAGCAAAGATTAAACACTCAAATGGCAGTGCTTCCAGGAACACGTTGAAATGAATGTCACATTCATCGGTTTTCTTGAGCCAGATGCTAGATAATATATCCTCAATGTTTATTGGTTATTTCATTGCCAACATGTTAGTGAGGATTTCTTGCTTCAGATGATATCCCACCAAGGTGAAAAATAAGCTCGTATCTCTTTTCGAAAGCAATTATCCGTAATTACTTAGCCTTTTTTTGACAGTCATGATTATGGGAATAAATTGTCTCGCATTAACAAGTGTCGTTACTTCGCATTCAGGCATCTGTTATTTTTTAACGGTAATTCTTTTTACCACTGTATTTACCGACGGTAAATCTTAAACTCAACAGTCTTATCAACAAAGTGGGACAGAATCCTGCTTGTACATATAAGATTTGTTTAGTGTTACTTTGCCAAGAGAAGTAGTATAAAGTTTGCAGGTAAATGGAAAAGATTTAAAGATCAGACTGAGGATGATAGAGGTTTGGATTATCTGAGGTTCGATATTTTACCGTGGATGTTTCATAACCAGGCGTGAAGACATCTTCAGAACTAACCTCATACAGAAGTGAAGCATATTCGAATATTTCATATTCAATATCACTAGAGTTTATATCTATTTCGATGGAACTCTCTTATCTAAATCCTTTCCTTCTTGAATAACCTTGTAAAGTTGATAGACCCACAAAACAAACATTTTTTTAACAGTTTGTTTTCTTATCCAAGATACATTGAAGGAATTCAATCTACAGTTAGCATGTGACAAGTGATATCTAGTAAATGAATTTTTATAAGAGAAATAACACTAAACGACACTGATTAATTAGTAATCGTCTCTGATGGAACGATAATTCTGTACTGTACTTTTTTCGCGAATACTAGGAACAAATCCAGAATCAGACTGTAGATTTAAATACTCTTGATATGCTGAAACTTTCTGTACGCTTTGTTAATAGCTGAAAAATATCGTTCTGTTTTCTTTCGTCAAATACAATTTACACTCACCTAGTTAAGACTGTATGAGTTAAAAAGAAACAATGACAAAGTATTTTAGTCACTAAAATCTGTAAATGTCAAGTATTTATTTCATTTTGAGACTGAGTGTTTACATTAACCGATTTTTCATATGTTTATCTCAATAATAATGTTTGAAACTGATGGGTAAATGATGTGGTATTTGACAAAGATAGCACCTATTGCATTATAAGTTGTTTGAGGTGTATACTACTGATGGGAAAACTGAAGTCATTTGCTAAGCTTCAGCTTATTTTGGAGGTGGTTACAGAACTCAACGTTTCATATGGAAGAGACTGTCATCTATTTATTCCAAGTTTCCAATCATTGAACTGATGCTCATTGGTGACTAGCTTCGAGAAGTATTCCCGAAGTTCCAATGACAAGTCGTGACCGGTGGAGTCAAAGCCTGATGGCCGTGAGGACAGATACTCAACGATGACATTGGGTGGCGGTTTGCGCTATATCGTGAGCTAAGAGAAGTTGGAAATATGGAGCATTGGGTTCTCACCCAGTGGCTCAATGGTAACGCGCTGGCCGCGGGACCTGGAGGTCGCGGGTTCGATCCTTGCTGGTGGGGTCGTGGGTGCGCACTGCTGAGGAGTCCCATACTAGGACGAAACAGCTGTCCAGTGCTCCCAGGTTTCCTTTGTTCCTCCAACTGATGTCAGTCCTCGATGAATAACAACTTGAAATATTTCCAAATCTCCACAACCCCCTCAAAAATTTAATTAAAATGTTAAATTACTTTAGCTTTGACCAATAAATGCTCTTTTGAACTGATGATGTTACCACAGTTTGATAATTACTTATATGTACTCAGTCAAAGTGACCCGAAATTGCACAATCCTAACTAAGTTATATATTCTAGCAGTTGCGAAATATAATTTATGTGAGCTTTAATTTGTCTCATTTTGAACGGATCTATTTTGCATAAGTAAGTAACATAGAAATTAACAGTTTAGTGAAAATTTTAATATTTGATAGGATTAAGTAACTATTTATGATTTTACGGTTCCTAAAATATGCACGCTTGTCCTTCACTTTGGGGTTCAACCTAGAATATAGGTTTTCTGTTAATTAGACAAAAATTCAGAATTCATTATACGATAGTAATTAATCTCAGTTAATTCACTGAGTTTCTTTGGGGTATTAATTTATCTTTTTATTTTAAAAATTTAAAGTAGCAACTGTATCAGCCAACCTGCTATTACTTCGGGATCAGTGGATATTTATCAATCGAATCCTTACAATGCAATGCAATTGTCAGATGATAGACATATAATTCATGATATGAAATTATATGAGAACGGAAAACTTGTTCAAGTTAAATGTCGACTTGAAACTAAAGAATTATGGGAGAAATTCAATGAATTAGGCACAGAAATGATTATTACTAAATCTGGTCGGTAAGTTCACTGGAGGAGTTACTTGTCTAATCGAGTGAAATTTCATAATGTCTAGTTGAAGTTGGTATAATATTTTTCATAGCACCAAGGTGATTTTCAGATTAAAAAGGGTTGTTTCTTGGATCTAAATTCACCATTATGATTTAATGTTAGTATATTTCACGCACAGAGTTTCCAGATTGCATCCAATTCATCCTTAATGTATTGCTGAACTTATTAAAGAAGTCTAGTAGTTACTGCTCAAACTTAATATGTTAAGAATATACTGCAACAGATGAATTATCAAATTGAAGGCTTCTAGACTAAATAAAGATCTTGGACTGTTTATCATGGACTGACATTAGTTGGAGATGGTTCATACCAACCTGAAATCAATCAGTCACAAACCTTCAAATTGAATAAAGACTCTTTTATTGTCTCCGTTTTATGAGATGCTTGTTTATCTTCACAGACATCATTGCTCATATCTTGTGAAAGGTTATCAATAGTAATAGTTTCGAAACGAACCTTTGTTGATAGCTGAAACATTGGCGAATATCCTAAGAGACCAACAAACTACACAAACTGTCACAAATCGTCCTCTACTGTTTGATTATTGACTAAATATACAACTGGTAGATGACTTTTTTTGCACTTTGATAACAGAATCAATTTTTTATATTTTCAGGCGTATGTTTCCAGTAATTCGTACATCATTCAGTGGATTACAGCCAGATGCTAAGTATCTAGTTCTTATGGATATTGTTCCAGTTGATTGTAAACGTTATCGTTATGCATATCATCGTTCAAGCTGGTTAGTAGCTGGTAAAGCAGATCCAGAATTGCGTTTAAGGCATTATGTTCATCCAGATTCACCGTTTACAGGTGAACAGTTAATGCGACAAACAGTATCATTCGAAAAACTCAAGTTAACCAACAATGTATTAGACAGACAAGGTTATGTAAGTTTTTTATTTTATACTTTTATTCTTGATGATCGATTCTGATCCATTTTCAACAGTCATAACATTGACTGACAAAATTCACTTCAGGTTCAATTACATTAGAATTTTGGAAGTTTTTATTTGAAAACCGTGGCCTTTTAGACTGTTTAGTGCTAATAAAACAATCATTACCATCGAAAAAAGAAGCGAAAGATTTTTATACTATCTTGAGTGTGGTTCATTGGTCTAGGCATTTGACTTCAACCGATAAGTCATTAGTTAGAACCCCTTGCCACCTACCGAGGTGTGGGCAGCCAGGTATTATTATTAGACCTCACATAATAGGTGTGGCTCACTATCTACTGCATGGACGTGCACATGGTTGCTGAGTGGATTTCGACTCCATTTCCATTCAACTTGTTTAAATCGATTTTAGTACCATAAACAAAACACTTAGGTTTCTTGAAGAACAACCAAGTTTCTAAATGACTTGGTTATTCGTAATTGACCTGTAACATCAACAATAAACCAAAAGTATTTTGCGTGATTTACGTTGAAGTTCATCTTGAAAAACAGACTGACGTCAGTTGGAAGTCCACGGAAAAACTGGAGGCGCTGGGTAGCTGCTTGTCCTAGTATATGACTCCCTAGAAGTAAGCACTCATGACCCTACCAGGGATCGAAACCATGGCCCGCATGTCTTGCAGCGAGAACTGTGCTATTCAGCTACTGGATCGCAATCCAGTTGTTCATATTTTCATTCCGATGTCAGTTTACAATATATACAGCGGTACAGCTCATGATGGATACCACCTTGAAACAAACCAGTTCCCAGAAATCTGAAAACCGAGTTAAATAACTTATTGGTTTGCACGAACTCTAGATTTCACTGATGTAAATATGTGATGAGAACTACTTTGAAAGCTATAACTGTTTTACTAGGTAGATTCAAATATTTAAAATGGTCATCATTTCCTTTGATATAACTTGGGATACACTTGTAAACGCTATAACAGTAACCCTCATATCCCGCCCATGATGGTCATTCAGTTTCTTGGAGAATTGAAAAGGTGATAAAACAACATAAAGTGTATTGCCACGGCAAAGGGGATACAAAATACAACGGTATATATATATATATATATATATATATATATATATATATATATATATATATATATATATATATATATACTGCAACCTAAGTTATTTCTAGGCTTTTCTGAAAAGGTATTTTCGATTCGTTTTATCTCTTCAACCAACCAGACTTTTCTTCCATGTAAAACCACGTGTCTTCTCTTGAAACTTCTGAGTATGTTGATTGGTTTTGAAAGAATGAAGAGACTTAGAACTTCTCTGAAGAATCTAGAATCTAGACACCATCCAAATCAAAATTAATGCTGGGTCCTTAGTGATAAATACCTAATTGAACAAAAATTAAATTTACACTCAGTATGGTCTTTGACGTTATAACTTGTGAATGTACGTCACTGACTGAACCGGGCACCATTAGCATATGGGCTCCTATGCGGATGCCTAAATATTACCGTAAGGTATACACCAATACTGGCCGATTGGTTCTGTTCAATGAACGACAGAGATTCACGAGCTATAACATCAAATACCGTAATATCCCCGTCATACACACAGCGGTTATCATGACTCAGATGCCTAGTGGATAACGCTCCTACGTATGAAGCAGTCTATCCCAGGTTCGAGTCTTCGTGGGAACAATGTCACTCACTGAGAGGTAGGTATATTAAGCTGACGTATCCTAAATAGGACGAAATGCGCATCCTGGATTCCACTGCTAACCACTGTCCATCATTAATTACAGCTAGTAGTTAACTGATTTCAAGTACTTAACAAGCACTTAGTTCATCTATCATAAGAATGTCTTTATTGAATATGATATCGTTAACAGTAATAATTCCAGGAAGTTAACATGTACTTACCTACTTCTTATTTCTCTCCGTAGATAATTTTAAACTCAATGCATAAATATCAACCAAGAGTTCATTTAATTCAGCTGTCCAATAATAATAATGATGATAATGATCAAGATTTTGTTGATTCGTTACTAACAGCTTCAAAATCGCTGGACACACTACCAACAGAAAATATCAAAACATTTACATTTCAAGAGACTATTTTTATTGCAGTTACTGCTTATCAGAACCAATTAGTAAGTTAATATACAAAATGTTAATTTTGTTGACGTCATCACAAATCACCGTCAAAAGTAGAACAATCTAATTTGTAATAGTAGGGGTCTTTTTATTCCTCGAAGCCATAGACTTCTCTCAGAAAAAAACTGTCAGTCGGTGTATTCCTGCTGAGCTACCAAGTTGATAATCAGTATTCGTCATATTTCCAGTCTATTATTATTGATGAGATAGCACTGAGACTTTTAAATTCGAGTGGATTACAGTTGCTGTCATTCCTGGCTCACCAACTGGTACAAATCATATTTACCAATATAGTTTAGAAAATGTTATCCATTTGCCCACTGAAATCAGATTTCTGGAAGATAAAACTAACCAAATACCAAAAAACATCTATTCACTAACCTTAATTTCAGTTGTTTCTAAAGTTGACGTTTTCTACTGGTGAAAAATATTTTCTAAATAAAATACCACAATCAATTGTAACATTCAAATCGGTTTTTATAAAGGAAAATAAATTCTATTCATTCAGTACCACAAATGATATTCTAATTCCCATTCTAACAGTATTGAGATCAGTATATTTTCATTTATTATTACTATTATTTTTCCCTTGGGTTCCTAATGGAACATTAGTAGTAGCAGTAGCACATCTCCAGTGCACTCTGTTCTCAACAATCTTTTGAACCTGGTTCCACTACTGCCCACAAGCTCTCATTTCATCCTCACACGATCTCCTCCATGTCACCCTCACCTCGGATGCCCAACTCGTCGCTTCCTATCGGGGTTCCACTCAAACATCTGGCCCAGTGCGTGATGCCCCCAGTCGACCTTCTCAGTGTATGCCCAATCCATCTCCACTTCCTTTCAGTGCATAGTTGTTGAGTGATAGCTTCTTGGTTGGTTCGTTGCCACAGCGAGTTCCTTGTTGCTCATTCTTATTGTTCTGGCCATCTGATGTTCAGTAACGAGCGTGGGAAGTTGTTGATGAATATCTGTGATTTGTTGGAAATGTCTTTCGTAACGCGCCATGTCTCTCAACCGAATAGAAGCACTGACGACTGGCATTGGTGTTGAAAATCCGGATATAGTTCACGCTTTATACTGAGTGCAGTGAAGTGAAGTAGATCTCCACACTGATTTCAGATTAATGCAAGCAGGCCTGTCTTACTGTATTTCCGATTCAGGCTTTGACGTCCTCATCTGTGCATGTGGCCGCCTGTAGTTGAGACAGTGCTGCCTAGGTAGGTGAGAAAGACTACTTCCCTTAGGTTTCTCCCGTTGACAGTGATTGGTGTTTGTTGTTGGTTGGGTATCTTCATCACCTCTGTCTTCTCTATGTTCACTTGAAGTCCCGTCTTCGCTGCCATGCCTTGCCTCTTCTGTCAACTTGTTAGTTCTCGCCTGTAGACCTTCTAGTTTGTGCGACAAGACATTAGACATAAGTCATCGGCGAAATCTAAGTCTCCTAGGATCTCTTCTGAGGTCCATCGTATCCCCCTCCTCTCGCTCCTCACGGTTTGTTGCACGGTCCAGTCCACCACAATCAGGAATATCATGGGTGGTAGTAGACAGTCTTGTCTTAGTCCTGTCTCCTGTCTTCACTTCAAGAGTATCACCTAGCTTCCCATTGTGAATCACTTGGCATGTGGTGTCTTCATATATTTGTTGAATGAGATTGATTAATGTTTGTAGTATTCCGTAGTGTTGGAGCAACTGCCTGCCAAATAACTTTTCGGCCTACGCCCAACAAATATGCAGAAGAAAGTGGAGTTGGATTGGGCATGCACTGAGAAGACGGACTAGGGACATCACGCGTCAGGCCCTTTAGTGGAACTAAGGTAGGAAACGAGTTGGGCGTCCGAGGATATCACGGAGGAGATGGTGTGAGGAAGAAATGAAAGCATGTGGTTAGTGGTAAGCTAGGTTGGAAAGACTGTAGAGAAGAGAGTGAAATGGTGACATGCTACTGAAGCCCTATTTTTCACTAGGAACCCAAGGGACAAATAATAATAATAATTTAAAAAGCATGCACTTCAGTTTTGTACTTTTGACATTGTTTACTAAAATCTGCGAAATTAATGCATTTCTTTACGTGGATAGTAGTGATTGGAAGTTTCTTCTATGTGTTAAAGTTATCTGATTTGTTTGATATGGCCCCCAAGGTTTTATCAAGTTCCATAGGCCCCATCACGAGAATAAAGTTTCATCCATGCATAATATAAAGTAACGTACCAATTTATTGGATCTTTCATTCATGCAGGTTTGTTAACCAATAATCTATCAGTTGTCATGCTGTTCAAGTAGGTAAGCTTGAAGACACAATCTGAAGGCAGTATGAAGGGCTCTAGTCGAAGGAACTCATATCTTTGGATATAGTTGGATAGTAGTGGTATCATTCATAGTCGGAATGGCAAAGTTGTAGATATATCATGTAAATATAGTTTTGGGAACTTATCATGAGTACGTTAATGAGGCAATGATTGAAGTTAGAAGGAGAACCGTGGTAACTTATCTCTTACTCACGACCATGTTCTCCTACTTCAACTATCACCTCACTACTTAAAACCAGTCTACCAGTATGATATCGTTTCAGTTAACCTTATCAGAAAGTGAACTAGTCAATTTGCGACATAAACATTATCCAACTACTTTAGTGCGAACCTTAGTGTCATATGGAAAGAGACGGAAAACGAAATTTCCTAAGTCGAGAAACTACAATATGAAAAAGTATTGAGTTTATGAGGATATCTATAACTCAAAGATAATTTAAGCAAAGTTTTTCTCGCCTTTATAGTTTAGTCTGCTCAGCGCCATAACTGGCTTCAAGACTGCTAGCATGAAGGCTTCTCTAAGTGTGCCGTTGATTGACATGAGGAGTCACAGACCACTCATACCTTTCAGTAGTATTCACCAACCAGACCAAGATAAGCACTGGATAGTCAATATTCAGGTGGTTCGGAGAAAAGCGCTCTTTGAACTCAATCAATTTGAGTGCACTGGTGATCTCAGCCCCAAACGAACGAAACGGTCGTCCTGTATTTAGATCATTTTAATGTAGGTGGTGTCCACAGAGAATATGCACATAAGGTCTCCAGTGGTGTATATCAGTCGGTAACATATTCAGTAAATGAGGATACTGTAGGATTTTCGACATGAACATTGTGTCCATGTGCTTTCTGAATTGAATTTGTTTTATTTGATAGATAACGAAACTGAAAATTGATTGCAATCCATTCGCTAAAGGGTTTCGTGATTCTTCTCGCCTTACTGAATTTGAAAGGTTAGTTAAAGTACTTCCGTTAGTTTATTATAATATTACATGAATGTGTAACATGTCTTTGATTTTTTGTAATTTAATATCACCGATTTCATCACTAAAATAAGTAATTTGATCCAAGCATACCCATTCTGTTTTTGAAATCTATCAACATTGTGATAAAAAAAGCTCTGCAAATAACGTTTATACTTTAATGATAACCATATTATGATCATCCTCTTCGATACGGGACCACTCATCCTATCCGGTAGATAAAGTGTACGGTTCTATTAGAATTTGGATGTAGTATTCATTGACTTCTAGTTTATGCCCTTCAAGATGATAACAACAGCACACCTTGACATTTCATCAAGATTTGTCAATCAACATTTTAATAAGTCTGTCATCACAATCTGCTGAGGACGTCAACCAGAATAACAATTTAAACTGCAAAGTAATGAACAGAGGTTCTTTTTTGCCCTACTGACCAACCTGTTTTGATTGAAATACAAAAGATTTGACTAAACTCACAGGTGAAATCATTGCCCCTGAACTGAAATCCAGCTTTTTTCTAGCTGACATGTTAATTACGCACTAACTTAGCGGATAAAAAGGTGTGCAACTTATGTTTAGACAGTCAGATAAATATCCTTCTGTCGTGCCAGTGATAAATATCTGGCTTAGATATCGACTGGGTGATGATTGATGGTGAAATGAAAATTTGGCCCGTGGAGGGATTCGACCACCAGTTTTCCGGCCTGGCGCTCCACAAACTGAGTTACGAGACCCTTGGTGATTGAGGCGAAATAAAAATTCGGTCAGTAGTCAAGTCTCGTAACTTAGTTGATGGAGCATTGGGTTAAAAACCCTATGGTCGTTGGTTCAAATCCTGCAGCTGTCTAGATATTCATTTCACCTTCGACACAAGTCTAACAAACCACGGCTGCTATCTTAGATAGTCAAACTGACAAAAAATATCAGCGGTCGTTAGCTGACAAAAGTTTAAAATGTTCTCACACTTAGAAAGATTACTTAATCTGCAAGGAAACATCATGCACATCGCTTTCTAAACAGAGTTCTATAGTTTAGTGATTCAATTGTATGACAGTCGTGAATTTAAGCATACCCACTTCGCAAAGACGCATCTTCAAATGACGTCAGTCATATAATTCTCTGTGGGAATATGACCACTTTAAATGGTCACACCTCTTTTTCTAAACTTGAGGAGATTAACAAACGTATAAAAAGCTTTAATTATGGAACATTGAAATATACCAGCGTCTTAGATGATAGGAATATATAAATGATTCGAGTGTGATTTCGTCTGTTATTTTCCACTTTTCCCAAGTTGTGAAATTTTTTTAGTGGTAAGTATGAGGAAGTGTGTCTGACTAAATGAAAAGTATAGATGACGATAAATATGATGAGATGAAGTGTTTAGTACTAGGGAGGGATAAATAAAATTGAAGAGAAGAGCAGACAAAATAGAAGCAAAAATGTACAAGTTTGAGCCAGAGAAGTAAGATGCTACAATGCAACAAGCCGGGGAAAACTTCTTTTCAGAGTAATCTGAAAGGAGATGTGAAGTACTCTAAAAACAGTGATAAAGGAGTGCAAGAAATCACAATAACAACAATAGAATTCTAGCTTTATTTTTTCAGATGTCGATCTGTTTACAGGAGTTAACTTTATGTATCAATCCATTGCTCGTAGCCGTAATATCTTTCCACTTATTTGATACAAGTGTAGTCATGTTTGAGCATAAGTGTATGTGTGTTAACGGTTTGCATCCCATTTGGTAGAATGGTGAGCAATCGCCGAAGAAAGGGAGGCAAAGAGGTACACCAAAAAAAATACATGCATTATATATGCTTCGTACAGGATATGGCACTTTATCCCGTTTACTAGTCTTGTGCTGTTTGTATACATAATTTTTTTAAAGCGATGAAAAGCTTTCCGTAATTCCATCCTATACTACTAGTTATGCGATAGAGCGGAGAGTTTCTACTCCACTACTCTTTTCATCCTTCACATAATCGTTTACGTTGTAAGTGTAAAATAATTTCATAGCATCAGAGCGATCATGGACACGTTTGCGCAATGAAAAACACTCCAGTACATACTTTGATTGTACGTGTCTTTATTTGTGTTGATGATTGAGTGAATGGGTGGATGAGTGACTAGCAGTACATCATACTCCTCTCACTTTTTTGTAATCGATACAGCAGGGTATTTAGATGACTTGAAACGTAACAAATTAAGTTAGTTTACCTTGTCAGTTAACTAGTTCTACAATGCGCGTGTCATATCACTAAAACGTAGATTGGGGGTGTAATGTGTACACTTGTTTGGCAACTCCATCAAATTTGTATATGTGGATTTGTTTGGACATTTAGCTAAATACACTGTAAATTTCTACATTTTTGGAATGTCTTGCATAGTAAGTATGAATGTTACAACTTTCATGAAAGGTAGATATCATATTTATTGCTCACTGGGAATCAACAAGTTACTGACAATGTTTTGGTCCCAATAAGGTATTTTTAAAGATTGAGCATACCATGTTCTTGCGTAAAAATTGAAAATAACCGTCTTATACATCATAGATGTAAGTTAATGAACAATCAAAGTGGATTTTGTTGAAGAAATTTTTGACAGTAAATGGCAGAGTCAACAGTTGAGGTTAAAGAAGGAGTAACAACCAACTATTTTATACCTTGGTAGATGTTATATGCCGTCAGTTTCACTCGTTATACCATTCTAAATATGGACGATAGAATTCGTAATGGATCAGCCTATTATTCAGTCTGTTGGAGCTTATATTTATAATCCTCTTCATAATGTCATACTTGTATAAATGAGGTAAATAAAACTCTGACAATGAGCCTCCTAGCTTGGTGATCACGCCACAAAATGATCTACAAAATTAGGTCAGAACTGAGGACAACATGAAATTGGTTGCTGTTCAGTGACCAATCAACATACCTAATGCAGCCATACAGAAGATTAATAGCGGATGGAATAACTCAGTGATAACGTCACCGACTATAACAGTGGGTGACGTGAGTTGGAGTCACGGAGGGGAAATCAATTTCCTGGAGGTTTTAGAGACACCCTGCTGACATGTATCAACAAGCACGAAACCTAAGTTCAGAGTATCCTGCCGACTGTCTCCAACCAGCTAACATTCAGTATATATATATATATATATATATATATATATATATATATATATATATATATATATATAGCAGTGTAGAAATGATAAATCCTCTAAACTATACGTATTTACACGCGAAAGCTTTGAAAATGGCATCAAACTGGCAGTTTAAAATGGATAGGAATGAAATTTAAGTTATTTTGGAAGTTAATCGAATACTTTTCAATAATGTGTTGATTTAGTGATAATAAATAGTTGGTCTCATAATTTTTTGACTTAGGCCACAATTTCTCATGGCTCCAATAGTGCCATGAGTAAGAATATCACTATTATATTTGTAATATATAGTCCAGTCTATGTTAGGAAAAAAGATCACAACTAAGTTACTAATCAGTGTACTTTTAAGGTGTTTAATAAAGCACAGAGGATGCATCACATGTGTACATTTATTCAGACAAGTAAATAAAAAAGATGTTGGCGTTCATCACCTATCTCATTCTGTCAAGTTGTTCATCAAAAAAAAGATGCATAAGAATAATGATAGTAAATACAAACATTGCTTTGTTTATTAATTAAACTACTATACCAGAATTAAGCATAGTCAATAATGTGAACACCTGCATATACTTAGGTCCTACTGTTTAGTCTATAAAGGAAATTCTGAATGTTTGCACATAACCACCATCACTCAAAATGTTACTTTTCTATTATTTTTCATATTCTTCAAGTTAAATGAATAAACAACAAGAGACAAAATCGCCAAAGAAAAATCGCATTCTAATAGAGCATGAAACAAATAATAATCGTAAAAAGTCATGATGTCTATCTTTTTTTACTACAGGATAAAGTGTATTTGCTTTATAATAGTTCTTTTCCGTGCCTGTATTCCTCTCCATACATGCATACATCTATCTGTTTGCTTTTTTACTCTAACACGTAGTTGAAGAAGTAATGCTGTCAAAAGTGGATGAAATGAAAGTAAAAATGTTGGTTTGAAGTAATCGAATCATTTGTATGTGTATTCATTTATCATACCACAGATTTATAGAATCTAGAAAATCATATTCATTCATAGACAAGACTACACTTCTACCCATTATACACAGTAATTCATAGAAAATAAATCTACCTATAGAGAAGAGATTTTTGGCGACAACTTGTGACATTTTATTCTATCACCCATAACATCCTGAAAGATAGAAAAAATAATTGTAGGTTAAAACCATGGAGACATTATCATTACTATTATTTTTCTTAGTATTATCATAATGATTAAATTAAGAAAAGAAAGGAATTTTAGTTGGAAAAAAATCCTTGATGCTACTGTCTCCCAGTCTTCAAGGCGTTAGGTGTATACTTTCTTTCTTAAAATTCCCCTTCTTTGTCTCAACTGCCTTCATATTCTTTTAAGCTTGTGGTTAACACGTTTGTCTTAAACACTCTGCACACACACATATATGCATACACATTGTTTGTTTACAGAGATAGTGACTATCATAAAAATGACTAGCCTACGTAACTAAAAAGCAAACGCTAATGATAATAATGATGATCACGACGGTTTCACCTTTATTCTCTTTGTCAATTGATTAGGTGACATTTAGTTTACAAAATATTTTTAGCACTCTATCATAAGGATTCTGTCACTGTAGTGATATCAGGTGTAGAGATGAAAGTTTGTTTATATTTACATCTATTTCTCTTGGTAGAAATGTGTACTTGTTCTGTGCACCGCTTATAGCCTACCTCTTTTTCCTTTGAGGTTATTGAAAGTGAAGGATAGATAAGAAGCTTTCTCTTCGAATCATTAAGATAAACCATGGAAGTCATTTTCATCTCTATACCATTAATATCCACTTAATAA